CTAATCTATTTATCTATAAGTAAGGGGAAATAGGACTATATTTATTAAAGTCTACTTTACTAAGACTTAACTATAATATTCTAGGTAAAATTTCCAAGATAATTAGGGTCCGAGATGGAAGGAAATCCTCGACCCTTACTCCTCGGGAATACCTCTATATAACCTAGAGGGTCTACACCGGTATAGTTCGAGAAGCGAAGGAAGTAGAACAAGGACGCGGCCAAAGGGATGGGGGTTCTCGTTAAACTTTAATCCTAGTTCGGAAACGATGCTGCCTTCGCCGCGTTACGGGGCGCGAACGGCAAGATCGGTCTCGGAAACGAGTGCCTACTTACGATCTTGCCCTATACATAGCTTAGGATGAATACACATCATTAACTAGTGGAGTCGGACCTACTAAGCGCTACCTTATAACTACGAATTAAAAGTAACCTCTACCTCTTTTTAATATAGCGCAAAATATATTCGCATCCACTAGATTCACTAAGGCTATAGGACCAAGCCATCCGGGAACTATCTATTAACTTCGTTCGCCCCGTAGCCGACGTGCTAGTTGTAGGTCCTTTATTTATATAGTAACTCGTTTTACATAAATCGCACATAAGTTAGTATCTTTAAATAGAGATACTAGATACATTTCAGCAGACTCTTAAAGAGCTCCGATAGCGGATGATTAAAACCTAAGGTCTGACTTGTAGTCTTCAGCGATTTCGCGGACAAGTCGCTAAAACGGGAGTTTACGAATTAGCAATTCTATAGATTTCTAGGAGCGCATTAGTTGTTTCCGGTAAACACGGACGTACGCTCAACTAACTTAATAACGTCGTATTTCTCGGAGTGTAACAGTACTAGGCTTATACCGGCGAGGCTTTTTAACTATGTCTCTGTCAGCGCTTTGAATGTGAGTCTCAAGATAAAGACGTACCACCACTAGTACTAGGTATACACTTTCGCAATGCTTTCGATCTAAGATCCTTGCGAGGTTCTTTAACGCCGGCCTAGGGATGGCGAGAGCGAGGAAAAGCCTAGAATAGTGAGTAACAACAATAGAAGCAGCGAAATAGTACTCACAGTCAGCTTCGTGCGAGCCATCGGTGCTTCGGCTTTAACCAATAGTTCTATAGAAAAGGAAGAAAGAAATTTAGACGATCCAGGATAGGGATTCACGGGTATTTATAGTTCAATTATTTGCAACGCATGGTGTGAAAATCCTGCGACCTGGCGGCATAGCCTAGGGGCAACGCTCCCTTACAACCGAAAAGCAACATCCGGTGAGGTAGTCACTTTCGGGGTCAATCGCATACCCCAGTAGTTGTCGCTTTTCTACCCATTAATTGTTGCCATTCGCGTTATTCGGTAAAGATGCGACCTGGCTTTGCACAGTTCGCCGGTAGAACGTAGTTATTACACTCTAGCATAGATTCTCCTAATTTTGTTTACAGAGGCATCCTTTCCGAGGCCTCGATTCACGCCCAGCTCAGATCAGAAAAAGGCACTTGCTGTTCTAATATAGTCAGTCTTCAAATTTATTTATCTCGACAGGACTCTCTCGCAGACGGTGCTCTAACAAATCCCCCTTCATACTTCATGGAGATTTGACATGAGACAATAGATAAAGTGCTTATGCCTTCACAACCTAGTCAACAAGCAAGTTTCTCTTTGATCCTCGTCCACTGCCTCCTCAATGGAGATCCTTCCATAAGTGTGGGTCCCACTAAGATCGCGATGCCGTTCAATGACGCCCACGCATAGCGAGTCGAACTGGCATTTAAGGCTAGGCGACGTGAGCATTGTTCCTGTGAGTCTCAGACAAGGCTAACTTGCGAGGGGACCCCTCGGTTGAATGTGTCGATGTAGAGGAATCCAATAGCGGAAATGCCTCACGGAGAGCTCTCAGGGAGATTCGGGCAGTGGGAGCTTAGAGAGTACCATCTACCACTTCTAACCCTCCTTCAGCCTGGCTGTAAGAGTTTGGATTAGTGCCTTAAATACACGTCGGTGCGTAGAGGATGTATCGTATCGTTGGATGCGGAAAGATTGCCATGGATCTGAGACGATTCTATTGAGTATTATATTTAATTGCATCGTTCTTGACCTTGCAAACAACGCGGCTCTGAAAATTTCACTAGTCGGAAAGGCGATAGGGCCACTTAATCCTTGTCCGACATTGGGCAGAACCTTGAACCTTTCCTTACCTTTGAGAGGTTGGACGAGGATAGTAGCATCTACGTTTAAAACTGCGTGACGCTCGGTGCCCGTGGTCTATTTTCAAAGGAGTAGTGCGGACAAAACCAAGAGAAGCAGAGGCCTAGTGGAAAGCAGAACCTAGTTTGGAAACATCCTCAAATCAAGAAAGTTATTGTAATTTATGACGCGGTGGTTTAGTCCTCGCTTTTGTTTAGCAAGCAATGTAGGCCATAGTAGGAGTTATAGAGTTCATAATATCTCAATCTCAAGATCCCTTACGCGGAGCTGCTGCTAAGTGACGGAAGTAGTGTTAGGCCTGTGTCGTCCTGGATTGCCATCTTACTCCTTTCGTTGCTAATGACGTTCTCTTTGTTTGCGAACCCAATCCTAGATTATAATTACAATAATAGAGCGGATGCAACTTGTTAAGGACACCGTGCGCGATACAATGCAACGCATGTAGAGCGATCAAACGCAATGACCTTAGTAATGCTTTTACGAATATTAGATAATTGATAAGCACATAACGATTAAGGTTAAAACTATTCCCCGCTCACGCTAAGATTCTACATGCTTAATAATAACAACAATAATAGAGACTATAGCCGACTGAGCTCCTAGTCCTGTTGGCAACATACATTCCTCAAAACTCCTATTTCTTAAATCATCTCCTGCCGACGTCGATTCTATCGCATTTTGAAAGCCCTCTAAGATCTTCTACTAGTCTTCCTTCGCCTCTACAAATATATAAGTAAATAAACTTCTAACATATCGTGAAAACGCTCATGTTATAAAGCACATACATACCTTTAACTGACACACTTTGCACAGCCCGTCTCGTCTTACGCTGCCTAAATGAGGGTAGATTATCACTGGCCATGGCTTTTAGCATTCCGGGTCGTGTGCAACATCCTTCTCGGTGCTAATAGAGACGTTCTCGCATCTAGAACAGCAGGACAGAGGGTTTCTCTCGGTGTAACACATCCTCTGGGCAAGGACTTCGATTTCGGATTGTGATGAGATATATGTAAGGGTACTTAAACTTGGTAGTGGTGAAGAAGTGGTAAAATAGAGAACAACCTTGTGTGAAACATAAAGGTAGAGCCAAGAGATTATTTAATAGGATGATGTCGATCAGGCGGTTTCTAATTGCTGAAGCGCGGCGATAGCGTCACTCCTTGGGTGGTATTGTGGCTGTTCCCACGAACGGCTTCACGCAAAAAAAGAAAGAGGCCTACTTAATTTTCACGCGTTATTTATGGATGCTGTATTCACACGTTGGAATAGTGTATACGTAAGTATTATTGCCTTCTTCACGCTTGAATTGGCGGACAATGGCGCGAGACCTTGTCTTGTGGACCTTCTAGTCAGTCTCGTGTCCCTGATTGAGTACTCTTTGCTTCGCATGGCTCTACACCATCCCGTATACTGCCTCCCTCATTGGATTGGCTATCCAGGAACCAGCTCCACCGAGGTAGAAGAATGAAAACTACCGGGGGATCGCAAAGACCCTGAAAAAGTCTGTAAGAACATCTATGCCGTTCTGCCAACGAGTAGGGAGGCCGAAGGGGGGGATACCTGGGCGGAGTGTCGAATGCAGACCCAGGACGCCGGTATGCTAGCTGGTTCTGACAATCACCAACCCGCTCAAGGATGGATTTAAGTGACCGGCTTGATATGAGCGTAGACACTAATGGTGTAAATCTAGGAGTCAAACCGGCTTCAGCGCCCTAGAGATGTCAATACTTGCCGTTCACTAATTTCAAGATGATATATCCGTAAAAGTGCGGTCTATTTATCGTAAAACCAATTATCAAACCAGTCACTCGAACCGTTCACGGCCGGTGCTGCTGTATACTGCCATATAAGCCCCCTGCATGGTACTTCGATGCGGATCATTAAACAGCCGAGGGCCAGCCCGAGTATGGTAATGAGTAACGTTCCAGTATCGTTATTACCACAGTTAGCCACACCGCCCACTCTAGCCACAGAATCATGCTCTTACCGTATTGATACCCGTGACCATACTCGGGTCCGTCCTCGGCTGTTCCACGATCTACCTCGAAGTACCTGACAAGGGTCCTTGAGAGGAGTGTGTGGCAGCACCGGCCGTGAATGATGATAGTAGGAGAATCAATAATTGGTCATCAGGTTAATAGGCGTTCATTTTATGTATATATCATCTTTGAATTGTAAAATTGGCACTATTAAAGCCTGTGAGAGGTCTCAGCCGTTTTAGCTGATTTCTGTACCCTTCCAGAAATATTGATATTTATGAACAAAACGGGTAGTGACGATAGCACAATGCATTTCAAACGTCCACGGATCTTGATGATATCAATGACAATACTGGGTGGTTTAACAGCCGTGGTGGCAGTCAAAGTACCATGGACCTATTTTATTACGCTGGGTGTCCCACCACGCCGGGATGTCGACTACGGCTGGAGGGGTTTGGGGAAGGAAATTTTGCTACCATTAGCCAACAATTCTCCCATTAGGTACAAATACTTTCGTTAGGGATTGATTTCACATGGAAGCTTCGAATTGAGTTGATGAAATCATAATATGGAGTCACAAGTAGATCGCTGGGTGTCGAGGCTGGATGTTTTAACATTCCCCTCCTTCTCGGCGATATCACCCTTTCCTTCGTTTAGTTGCGCTCAGGCTCTGGGAGAGGCTTGGGCAGAGGTCATGCCCATTAACCGAGCCGGCTACCATGTCCTTCTGCGTATGCAGAGCTTCCCCACCTAAATAATGTAGATAACTTTGTCCCAGCTCTCCGGCAAGGGCTCTTCTGATGCTCGTCCTAAATAATGGCATCAACGCCTTCGGAAGAACAAATGGACACCTGTCTTGGGATACCCATGCCATCATGCATGCGTGATTTCGTTGCACAGTCCTTTGAATCACCTCCCAGACATAGTGGAACATACACCAATAGTCTTATCGTCAACTATGGAGATGTGCATGGCAAAGCAATGGAAGAGGTTGAAAAATGCCGCCTCCTGGCAGACGGACCAGATGACATCGTGGTACTGCTTGCGCGCCCTGCTACATACTAATCACAAATACAGCGACCGAGTAGATGGGGCCGATCTGAGCTCGGGTGGCGGTTGAGGTTTTGGAGGTGTCTTCAGAACGGAAGCGTATGTCGGTCGCGTGGTGACTATGTTGTTAGTGGATGTCGGAGGCGAATGTAATGGTATCGTTGATTCGGGCTGTATGTCAACTGGCTTGTCGGTATCGGATGGGAGGTTCGTTGCTGGCGGTGGGGTGTTCGTGACGGGTAGGGGCTTGGGGGATGCATTCTCCAAGCATGGCTGCAGGTCTCGAAGCATGTCTGCCCATAGGCATTCGTTGTCGTGGTATCCCAGTAATTTTTGCGTAGTGTAAAGTTCCTCTGAGTCCCAGTCCGATGTCTCCTTTCCGCATATGAAGCAGCAGACGTTATCGGGTGTCTCGTCACGGGGTCGGCGGTAGAATCCAAGCCTTGCCAGCTGCTCCGGCAAGAGGTTGGTATGAGACCATTCTTGATACGAAAGTACTCTAGATGAGGTGGTAGAGAAGGTGGGGGAAATACGGATTATCTTGTCGATGCTAGGTCGTTGTGATGAGGGTTTCAGTTCCGGTTTTGACTGCGGCTGCGATTGCGGGGCTGGTGGTTCTGGCAAAGGCGATGCCGCTGGCAATGCGCCTAGGATTGAGAACCGGTTTAAATTGAAGTTCAAGGGGTCTGTGGGTTGCTTTTTCATTGTGTCTCCAGTACGCTAAAATGCAGTGCAACCCCCGGCAGGTCGTGCAGCTACAGGCCGCATTACAGAGGTGGCCGCATTAAACTATTCTCTCGATCTCTCCGTACCGTACAAGAATGCACAAGCCACAGTTCCCAGACAACTCTCCAACTCGTGCACTGGCCCAGTCGAGCAATCGTTGGTCAACTGGGCGTCCTGTGTCTGCATGATGCTTTTTACACGGCCACACGGTCCCGACTCAGAAAAAAGCTGCATGCCCACGTCCAGGTCCCAAGCTCACCCGTCATTAGCCCGACCCCGGAGTTTGATCTTGACCTTGACCTTGACCTCGGATCCTGGTGCCACCTGGGTTCCTAAGGTCAAATTCAAAAGACATTGTTTCTAGATACTCTGGCGAAGCCATCTAGAATTCTCTGTCCATCGCTCCATGGTCAAACTACGTTGAAATGGCACCAATGTCAGCTAGTTTGTTTCTCTATGCTCGACACATAAACCCCCTTATTTCTCGATGGCTCTACCAAATCGCTCTCCAGTCGGACTACCCAAATTCTTCCCGCATATCTTCTCCCGTGTTCCTCTGTTGCGCCCAAAGCTTCCCAGTTCAGTTTCCCACATACCTAGCCACCAGCTATTTCAAGTCATCTGTGAGAGATGTCTCCAGAGCTGGTCAGTGGTGTCGTCTTCGGCGTCGTCATGTTCTTCCTTGGCGTGATAGCTCTCTTGCAAAACCGTCGACGTCGTCACCGTCAAGGCTCCTCTCCTTCCACTCGACTTCAAGGCGATCTTACTCCAGTTGTGCATCAAAGTCATGATGGCATTTACCAACCTCAAAGCAACGGCGTTTCCGCTCACAGTCAAAATCATATTTGTGACTTAGAGTGAGTGCGCCTGTGCATCCTTCGGGCAGTATCGGGTCTGTCGAGTAGTTTCAACTCGTGAGAGTGGAAAACATGACAATCGAATTTCCGATTGTCTGAGTCCCGGCATCGTCAAACTCGGTTAGAGTTCGAGTTGACTTGTGCTCGACCAAAATTCAATTGCGGGAACTGCAGTAATGGGAACATGTAAAGCGCCGAGAAGAAATCGATCAATTTTGAGAAAGTCGGAGTCGAGCCCCAGGTCTCAGCGAGCTTGTTGATCTCAAGAATACTCCTCGCGTAGGCTTCGATATCATCTTTCCCCTCCGCTTCTAGCTTCCTGAGCGTTTGTAATTCCTTGAGCCATTTGATCAAGATCGACTTTTGTTCCTGAGACGACTTTTTGGGTTCAATCTTCAGGAGTGGATGCCCTAAACCGAAGTCAATTTTGCATCTCAAATTATCTAGTACCATGAGCAGGGACAGGGAGAACAATTTGACTACGAAGATCCCAATGACCAAGACGAAGCAGATGAAGACGTTCCGACTATTTATAGCGTCGCTGTTTACATTGCGGAGCCACAGGAAGAGTAGGTAGAGTCCGAACCCAATAAAATATGAGTAAACCGCCAGGAAAAGGAGTTCTTGGGGCAGCTGCGCGCGGATTTCCATAGCCACAGATCCTTCCATAGGCAGAGGCGGAGGTGTAGCCAGTGGTGCTCTGCTGGCAGGAGGCTTTACGGCTGTAGGTTGTGGAGGCAGATCGTTACTCCTATCTCCAGTATCTGAAGTCCTTTGATCCACGGTCATCGTATCTGGGCTTGCAGTACTTTGCACCTGTCTGTGATGGCCTCGGCTCAACCACACGCGTAGATCCAATGGTTCGATGAGCATGGCAATTTCCGCCTGCTGAGAGGTGGCATAGACGGTGGAGAGAATCCCAAGTGTCATGCTAGTGATAAGGAACGCCCTCGCAGTCCAATGAGTGGCATTCACATCAGGAAGTTGCAGAGACGTCAGCCCTATGCTGGCGAAGATGGCGCTCTAAGCATGGTAAGCATAATTCATCCAGGGAAGGTCAAAGTTCTCTCACAGCAACAGCAATCGAGTTGCAGTTCTGAATATATGCTGCTTTCCATGCCTTGACATCATCATCGCTCCAACAATTGATGGCCCAGGTCAGGGTAGTTTCATGGTGGGTTTGGAAGTTCCTTCCGGCCCATGTGCCGCTTGGGCTCGATATTTGACGAGCTGCGTTTACGATCTCCAAAGCTAGTTTAGCGACTGAAAAAGGATCCATTGCAGAGAACAAGAAAGAGAAGACAGTACTGCTGCAAGCTATCAGCTCTCTTTTCAGAGAACCAAGGACACAATTGTGAGGCTGGAGAGAACAGTAGATAAGTGAATGCTTTGTTGACGTAAAATTAAGCCAGGCCTAGTTCCTTAGAATACGAGGCAGCACGTCTTCTCGCGGACGCATTGCCAAGGTGACTGAGCCTCATGACAAGGGAAACTGAATGGAGACAAGGAATCCAAACGCAGATAATGAAAAGCAGATTTTCGTTCACAAAAAGCTGCTTAACAATACTAACCCTACCTTTCGCCGAAGTCACTGGGTTGCATGGGCAAAAAACGTGGCCACTTGCGATTTGACGACTCGTCGAAACTTTAATCGTTAGCGACCACGAAATCTCCAAATATAACTTTATCGTTACGGTGGCATGCACGTTCATTTTTCGCGCCACGCTGAGGGGACAATTACTGTCAACGATTTTTTCTTGGCCTTGACAAGGAACGTAGCGACTGAATTCCCACTTGAGTCGCAGAAAATAAGCTTCAGGGGCAAGCGCGGACCCCGCAAAGGACACGTGTCCTTAGCGCCGGCTGCAGCCGCAGCCAGTCGCAACGATGATTCAAACCCCCTACCACACAACCATCACCGTATCACCAGCAAAACACGCCCGAGCAACTCGAAGCAAGCGTCCACCGGCACCGACTGCCAAGGTTCGCGAAAATTAGGCACTCCGACGTACAGGGGGGTCTCCTGTGCGGGCTGCGCCCCCCCCCCCTGTTAGGCACCTCCTTTACTCGCCCTCCTATACAACCTCGCTGTCGCCCTGCCTACTACTACGCCGCATACCTACTCTGCCGTCGCCTACCTACTCTACCGCCGTCTACCTATCCTGCCGCCGCCTATACAATACCTAGGAAGCATAAAAACCGTAAGTCGTACGCCGATCCTAATCGACCGCGCGGCCAGCGCTTAGCAGAAAGAGAACGCACTTAAATCATCACCTTATATACAATTACTAAATGGAATTAAAGGTAAATTATAAAAGAACTTCGACTTACTAAATCTATAGTTCGACTATATATTCGCTCTAGTATCTATACACTCTAGAAACTAGTTAGTCGTACGCTATTACTTACTACTCGTAAAAGAAGGCTATAAGGGTTTAGCTAGGAATTTAGAGTAATTCGTCTAACTACCGTATAACGAGGATTCTAAAGCTAAGGAGAGAAAAGAAAAGAGAAAATCTATCTACTATACGAATAAAGGAAATACTCCCTAGCCTCTCCTATAGTAGATTAATATATATCTATATTTTGGACCGGGTAGCCTAGTAAGCCCTAGGCTACCGTAGGCTCGCAGCGCTAGGCTATAATAGATACTTATTATAAGCTTATAGGGTAAACCTTAATTCCTATAGGCTCGCTAGGCTTAGCCTAAGTACTATAGGCTCGCTAGGCTCGTACCTAAGTACTATAGGCTTACACACTAACTTTACTATTTATAGAACTTTTCTATTTTATAATTATATAGA